GGCTCTGATGGAGGAACAAAGAAGTTTGGAAGCAAGGGAGGGGTAAAATATTAGTGGTGGTGGTAAGCTATTCTTTCAAGAGAACCTGTCATTATGCACTAAAAAAAACTATCTCTCTTTCATTTATCGCAATTAAGTAAATTAATAAAATAAACATTTAAACACATATCAATATATAGATTACAAGAAGAAAATCCATCCCCAAATAATTTCAAAAGTAGATAATTATTGAGATCATTGTTTCCTGATCCTTCTGATAACAATCAGATCGATAAATAATCACACTGACCAATCTTAGTTGTAAAATTGAATTATGAATATGAATTTTCCTGGACAATTGCTATCTCTTCTCTGAGCTAAGGCCAGTGCCAGGAGTGTCTACTCAGAGCATAAAAATGCATTTCCAACAAAAATGATGACATATTTTTTAAAGAAAGTCCTTTCTAAGACAAATTATTTGGTGGCCAATTCTTCCAACCATCATTACATGTACATGGCTTAGTCTTAGTGTCACTTTGTAGCATTTTGGCACATTGGTTTTATATTCTGCTTGGACCATGAGGGTTTGTATTTTTAAAGTAAAGGTGGACAACAAAAGAATGGAGAGGTTTTACTCTCAACAAACAGATCTGAAATGTTAAGCTGGGTCAATTCTCACTAACCATAAGATTCACTCTGCTGAATCCGTTTTTACGGAATAACAAGCAGAGAGCTGCGTTTATCACGGCCCAGCTTCCAGCCTGCTCTGTGAAATAAACCACCAGATTTTGTCTGGGCTGGGAGCGCAAATCCCAGTCGCTTGTTATTGTTTCCTGTCTGCCTTGTTAAAGTTGGAAACTAGTACATGGAGGCTTTGTTACATAAGCCCTCACAGCCTAACGTCACAGCAGAGATCACAGTATGCTGCATTTAACTGTCAGGCCATTGCTTGGCAGTCCTTTCCCATGGAAAGTTTACACTGGAGCATGGAAGCCTATTTGCGAGTTGTTCTTGGAACTTTCCAGAAAAAAAATGGTTCTCCGAGAATCTCTTTTTTTACCCTAGAGGTGTAAAAAAAGGACTATATTTTATTATGCTATTATTTAACTATCATTATAAATATGCTGAATTATGCAAAAAGTCTGTACAAGATTAAAATGTAACTGGAGAGGCAAATGTAATGTAGGTTTTTAATAGTTATTGATGTACAAGAAATTGAATGGGTTATCAGTTATGTTAGTGTATAAATAATCACTTCTGTTTTATTTATACTATATTGCCAAACATATTGGGACACCCTTCCAAATCATTGGATTCAGGTGTTCCAATCACCTCCATGGCCACAGGTGTATAAAATCAAGCACCTAGGCATGCAGACTGCTTCACCAAACATTTGTGAAAGAATGGGTCACTCTCAGGAGCTCAGTGAATTCAAGCGTGGTACCATGATAGGTTGCCACCTGTGCAATAAGTCCATCTGTGAAATTTCCTTGCTACTAAATATTCCACGGTCAAGTGTTAGTGGTATTAAACAAAGTGGAAGCAACTGGGAATAACAGAAACTCAGCCACGAAGTGGTAGGCCAAATAGAATGACAGAGCGGGGTCAGCGTATGCTGAAGCGCACAGTGTGCAGAGTCAATAGCTGAAGACCTCCAAAATGTGTGTGGCCTTCAGATTAGCACAACAACAGTGCATAGAAAGCTTCATGGAATGGGTTTCCATGGCCGAGAAGCTGCATCCAAGCCTTGCATCACCAAGTGCAATGCAAAGCGTCAGATGCAGTGGTGTAAAGCACACCACCACTGGACTGTAGAGCAGTGGAGACATGGTTTCTGAAGTGAAGAATCACGCTTCTTTGTCTGGCAATCCGATGGACGTGTCTGGGTTTGGGGTTTGCCAGGAGAATGGTACTTGTCTTACTGCATTGTGCCAAGTGTGAAGTTTGGTGGAGGGGGTTTGTAGTGTGGGGTTGTTTCTTAGGGGTTGGGCTTAGCCCCTTAGTTCCAGTGAAGGGAACTCTTAACGTGTCAGCATACCAAAACATTTTGGATAATTTCATGCTTCCAACTTTGTGGGAACAGTTTGGGGATGGCCCCTTCCTGTTCCAACATAACTGTGCACCAGTGCACAAAGCAAGGTCCATAATGGAGGAACTTGACTGACCTTCACAGAGTCCTGACCTCAACCAGATGGAACACCTTTGGGATGAATTAGAGCGGAGACTGCGAGCTAGGCCTTCTCATCTAGCATCAGTGCCTGACCTCACAAATGCACTTCTGGAAGAATAGTCAAACATTCCCATAGACTCACTCCTAAACCTTGTGGACAGCCTTTCCAGAAGAGTTGAAGCTGTTATAACTGCAAAGGGTGGGCCAACTCAATATAGAACCCTACGGACTAAGACTGGGATGCCATTAAAGTTCATGTGCGTGTAAAGGCAGGCATCCCAATCCTTTTGCAATATAGTGTATCTATATATAGCATATCTATGTATACTATGTATACTGTGACATCTGATCTCACTTTCCTGCCTCAAAGTGGCTTTAACTAGTTTTGTAGGCTATATATATGGCTGGAAGTCAAAAGACCATTTGAGCTCACTTAGGACATTGAGCGGACAATATGCAGAGCAAAGAGAGGACTATCAGTTCCAGAAAATTCAAATTAAATTATGGGCTCCCCTGGATTTGAACAATGCCACATTTATCTCTAGTATCATCTGTGTAACATCTTTAAACCAAGCTAAATACATTCATCTTATTATTATACTTTTGCGTTCTTTGAATTATTGTACTACATCTACATATCTGAAAGGTTAAACATAAGAACCTGGAAGTAATTAAGATTAGGCCTTTATTACAGCATGACTTTAATTTCTTTTTCTATTTACACTGTTATTTAGGGTTCCAAAACTGATGTTCATTCAGTTTTCAGTATTTTAATCTACTGAGCCTGTTTGTTAAAACAAACCTGTGCTTGATGTTCAAATCAACAGGTTTTTCTTTAATGCCTCCATCTTTTCTGTCTTCCCACTGTCTTCCACTGTGGAAAGGAATCTTTTTGTAAAATCCTAGCTGAAATAGTTAAAATGGCTTTTATATGGCTCAGGGCTCTCCTTGCCCTTATGTGTTGGACTAATTACCACGTAAAGTAAGGCAAGTGAGTCAAATGCTCTTTCATACCCAGAAGCACCAGGTACACCATTATAAATAGACAAGTCAAATCCCCGCAGATAGCTTCAGAGCGTGGTCAGGGCATGAGTGTCAGGAATGGCCAGCAATAGTGGGACTCACCTGCCTTATGAGCTGCAGTACCAGGGCTGGCCAGCGGGTGCTCCCAGCAATCAGAGACTCAACCTTGCAGCCAGTCAAACACCTGGAACTAATTATACTGGTGTATTTAAGGGACATTCAGACCTGCAGACTCTGCCTTGGTGTTGTGTTTCTCCTGGGCCCTGTTTCCTGTTCCTGTTCCTGTCTGATTCTCTGCTGACCCTGCTCTGATCCCTGGCTTTGTCTGACCATTCTCCTGCTCCTGATCCCTGGCTTGTCTGACCATTCTCCTCTGCCTGACCCTCTGTACCACGCTGCCCGCTACCTGCTGAACCTGGCTTGTGACCCCGACCATTCTCCGCTTGCTCCCCCTGTACCTACCTGCCCGATTGATATTGACCCGGCCTGCCTGACGACGCTTGCATTGTATGTACTGTTATCTGTGGGGGTGGTTTGGTTTGTTTGCACTGTGTTATGTTTTAGTATTGCACTGCGTTTATGTGTTTGTATGGTTAGTGTTAATAAATTACATTGTTTATAACATATCTGAAGTCTGCGTTTCCCTGCGTCAGTCACACACCTCTGGTCACACCCGGGAGCCCTGACATTACACCAAGGCCAATCCTGACCAGAAGTGGCTGCACAGGGAAGCCATCTTGGTTTGTTGATGGGAAGGATGGATCTTGGATGAGGTTGTGTATTTATATCTGCTAGTGTTTGATGACAGAGAGTATGCTTATCAAACTCTGAAGGAGTATCCCCGGGATGAACTGCTAGAATGTATACGGCTCGCTCATGTTCTAGTAGATCAGGGCACAGAATTCTCTGAGGTGCAGCCATTGATTCAGATTTGTGCAGAGTTGGTTTCATCTGGTACCCCCGAATGCAGGGATGAATTTTTGCCGCCATTTAGTGCTGACCAGGTAGAGTCCCTGGTATGGTTATTAGAGGATGATGTGGATTGCTTCTTGGAGCATTATGCTGCATGTTCACCACAGTACTAAGAGATTGTATAAACGCAGTGCAGTCTTTGGTCAGACAGGCTTTGTGTAAGCTCAGCTTTGTTCAACCCATACTGCAGACATGGACAGATTTGTTGCACCCAGCCTCAGTCAGCTTACAAAAACCCAGTCCTGCTTCTAATCTATTTCCTCAAAGCTCTACTCCTGCATTCCCAACAGCTCCTCCTGCCCTGCTATCTACCGCATGTCAGTACCCTGTTCCCACTCGCTGCACCTATCCTGCCTTTAACCCTGTAAAAGAAGCCCTCTGTAGCAACTGCTCCCTCCCCTGTTCCATCCTCCAGTTCTTCTCTGTCTCCAGCTGCTCCATTCGTTTGCAGACCTGCGTTTACTTGCAGTGCTCCAGTAGTTAAAACCAGAAAAAAAGCGAAAATTCTTTCCAACCAATACCATCCTGCCAGTATCCAAACCGGTGAACCTGCCTTCCGTGGTTCAGCCTGAAGCCTCTACTCAGCCTGAATCCTCTACTCAGCCTGAATGCCTCTACTCAGCCTGATGCCTGTACAGCAGCCTGATGCCTCTACTCAGCCTGATGCCTCTACTCAGCCTGATGCCTCTATTCAGCCTGATGCCTCTACTCAGCCTGAAGCCTCTACTCAGCCTGATGCCTCTACTCAGCCTGATGCCTCTACTCAGCCTGAAGCCTCTACTCAGCCTGAAGCCTGCACTCAGCCTGATGCCTCTACCCAGCATGATGAACTGATCCAGCCTGACGATCCTATTAGGCCAGTTGACTCGATGCCCGCTGTTGATCCAGATGATCCGGTACCTGATCCGGTGCCCGCTGTCGTGCCAATTGACTCAGCCCGCTGTCGTACCTGGTGACTCGGTGCCCAGCTGCCTTGCCAACTGACGCGGTGCCCGCTGGCGAGCCAAATGACCTGATGCCTGGTGACCCAGTGCCCGCTGTCATACCTGGTGACCGATGCCCGCTGTCGAGCCAGATGATCCGGTACCTGATGACCCGGTGCCCGCTGTCGTGCCAATTGACTCAGAGCCCGCTGTCGGCCTGGTGACTCGGTGCCCACTGCCTTGCCAGATGACGCGGTGCCCGCTGGCGAGCCTAAATGACCTGATGCCTGGTGACCCAGTGCCCGCTGTCATACCTGGTGACCCGATGCCCGCTGTCGAGCCAGACAATCCGGTACCTAATGACCCGGTGCCCGCTGTCGTGCCAATTGAGTCAGAGCCCACTGTCGTGCCTGGTGATTCGGTGCCCGCAGTCTTGCCAGACGACTCGGTGCCCGCAGTCTTGCCAGACGACTCGGTGCCCGCAGTCTTGCCAGACGACTCGGTGCCCGCAGTCTTGCCATACGACTCGGTGCCCGCAGTCTTGCCAGACGACTCGGTGCCCGCTGTTCCGCCAGTTGACTCGATGCCCGCTGTTCCGCCAGACGACTCGGTGCCCGCAGTCTTGCCAGACGACTCGGTGCCCGCAGTCTTGCCAGCGACTCGGTGCCCGCAGTCTTGCCAGACGACTCGGTGCCCCGCAGTCTTGCCAGACGACTCGTGCCCGCAGTCTTGCCAGACGACTCGGTGCCCGCTGTTCCGCCAGTTGACTCGATGCCCGCTGTTCCGCCAGGTGACTCGGTGCCCGCAGTCTTGCCAGACGACTCGGTGCCCGCAGTCTTGCCAGACGACTCGGTGCCCGCAGTCTTGCCAGACGACTCGGTGCCCGCAGTCTTGCCAGACGACTCGGTGCCCGCTGTTCCGCCAGTTGACTCGATGCCCGCTGTTCCGCCAGGTGACTCGGTGCCCGCAGTCTTGCCAGACGACTCGGTGCCCGCAGTCTTGCCAGACGACTCGGTGCCCGCAGTCTTGCCAGACGACTCGGTGCCCGCAGTTCCGCCAGTTGACTCGATGCCCGCTGACTCCATGCCCCAGTTGACTCGGTGCCCGCAGTCTTGCCAGACGACTCGGTGCCCGCAGTCTTGCCAGACGACTCGGTGCCCGCAGTCTTGCCAGACGACTCGGTGCCCGCTGTTCCGCCAGTTGACTCGGTGCCCGCTGTCTTGCCACTCGGTGCCCGCCAGTCTTGACTCGGTGCCCGCAGTCTTGCCAGACGACTCGGTGCCCGCAGTCTTGCCAGACGACTCGGTGCCCGCAGTCTTGCCAGACGACTCGGTGCCCGCAGTCTTGCCAGACGACTCGAAGCCCGCTGTTCCGCCAGTTGGCTCGGTGCCCGCAGTCTTGCCAGTTGACTCGGTGCCCGCAGTCTTGCCGGTTGACTCGGAGCCCACTGTCGTGCCTGGTGACTCGGTGCCCGCCGCTCCGCCTGGGGGCCCGAGACCTGTCGCTCCGCCTGGGGGTCCGGCGCCCGCCGCTCTGCCTGGGGGTCCGGCGCCCGCCGCTCCGCCTGGGGGCCTGAGACCTGTCGCTCCGCCTGGGGGCCTGAGACCTGTCGCTCCGCCTGGGGGCCTGAGACCTGTCGCTCCGCCTGGGGCCTGAGACCTGTCGCTCCGCCTGGGGGCCGGCGCCTGCCGCTCCGCCTGGGGGCCCGAGACCTGTCGCTCCGCCTGGGGGTCCGGCGCCGCCGCTCCGCCTGGGGGCCCGAGACCTGTGTCGCTCCGCCTGGGGTCCGGCGCCCGCCGCTCCGCCTGGGGGCCCGGCACCCGCCGCTCCGCCTGGGGGCCCGATGCCTGTCGCCCCGCCTGGGGGCCCGATGCCCGTCGCCCGTCCCCCTGTCGCCCCCGCCTGGGGGCCCGATGCCTGTCGCCCCGCCTGGGGGCCCGATGCCTGTCGCCCCGCCTGGGGGCCCGATGCCTGTCGCCCCGCCTGGGGGCCCGATGCCTGTCGCCCCGCCTGGGGGCCCGATGCCTGTCGCCCCTCCGGGGGGGGGGCCTGCGCCCGCCGCTGCCCGCCTGGGGGCCCGATGCCCTCGCCCCACCTGGGGGCCCGATGCCCGTCGCCCCTCCTGGGGGCCCGATGCCTGTCGCCCCGCCTGGGGGGGCCCGATGCCTGTCGCCCCGCCAGGGGGCCCGATGCCTGTCGCCCCGCCTGGGGGCCCGATGCCTGTCGCCCCGCCTGGGGGCCCGCCGATCCGCTTGGGGGCCCGCGATGCCTGTCACCCCGCCTGGGGGCCCGATGCCTGTCGCCCCGCCTGGGGGCCCGGTGCCTGCTGCTTCACCTGGTATCTCCCGATGCCTCTGCCCGAGTCCAGCCCGATGTGCCTCTGCCCGGAGTCCAGCCCGATGTGCCTCTGCCCGGAGTCCAGCCCGATGTGCCTCTGCCCGGAGTCCAGCCCGATGTGCCTCTGCCCGGAGTCCAGCCCGATGTGCCCCTGCCCGGAGTGCCTCTGCCCGGAGTCCTCTGCCCGATGTGCCTCTGCCCGGAGTCCAGCCCGATGTGCCTCTGCCCGGAGTCCAGCCCGATGTGCCTCTGCTGCCCGGAGTCCAGCCCGATGTGCCTCTGCCCGGAGTCCAGCCCGATGTGCCTCTGCCCTGTGCCTCTGCCCGGTGTGCCTCTGCCCGGTGTGCCCCTGCCCGGTGTGCCGCTGCCCGGAGTCCTGCCCGGTGTGCCAGTCTTTGATATCCCGCCAGTTACCAGACCCGGGCGGTGGAACATTTTGCCCAGCTAGGACTGTTGGAGCGTCCTGAGGCCGCTCCTTGAGGGGGGGGGGGTACTGTCAGGAATGGACTGGCCAGCAATAGTGGGACTCACCTGCCTTATGAGCTGCAGTACCAGGGCTGGCCAGCGGGTGCTCCCAGCAATCAGAGACTCAACCTTGCAGCCAGTCAAACACCTGGAACTAATTATACTGGTGTATTTAAGGGACATTCAGACCTGCAGACTCTGCCTTGGTGTTGTGTTTCTCTGGGCCCTGTTTCCTGTTCCTGTTCCTGTCTGATTCTCTGCTGACCCTGCTCTGATCCCTGGCTTTGTCTGACCATTCTCCTGCTCCTGATCCCTGGCTTGTCTGACCATTCTCCTCTGCCTGACCCTCTGTACCACGCTGCCCGCTACCTGCTGAACCTGGCTTGTGACTCCGACCATTCTCCGCTTGCTCCCCCTGTACCTACCTGCCCGATTGATATTGACCCGGCCTGCCTGACGACGCTTGCATTAGTATGTACTGTTATCTGTGGGTGGTTGGTTTGGTTTGTTTGCACTGTGTTATGTTTTAGTATTGCACTGCGTTTATGTTTGTATTGTTAGTGTTAATAAATTACATTGTTTATAACATATCTGAAGTCTGCGTTTCCCTGCGTCAGTCACACACCTCTGGTCACACCCGGGAGCCCTGACAATGAGTATGTCTGGTTTTGACCATTTGTTTCTAAACAGATGAGCCCTTCTATATTTTAAATTAGCCAATTCACGACTTTCTCTCTCCCTAACGACTATAGGAGCAGGCAAGAGGATGATGTGCAAATCATCTGTATTTTTGAGTTTTCTTGTCAAGCAATAACGTTTATTCACTACAAAGAAAGAAACAATGCAAAGTGCAAATCTTTCCTTTCAGCTGGAATTATACTTGTACTGTTGAGCAGAGATCACTCCACCTGGGCAGTACTGTCTTCATTTCCATGCTCGACTCTTTACAGCAGCTCTACAAAGTTCCCATAGGTGACCAATAGATGGTGGACCCAGCCCAAGACAGGGTAGGCTACTTGTTGGGTACTGGGACAGTAAATATGCAGCACCAGATAAACTGCAAAACTGCAGCCCACATGTAGATGCTGATGTTCGTTTGAATTTAGGAGCCATCCACATAGAATTAATGGTATTGTAAATAATGTGAATTGAAACATTGTGTAGTCTTTGCAGATTGCAAGGAGCAGACTCAAGTGACTGAACAAGGAAAACGTTGCTCCCCCATGATGCAATTGGAGCTTTACCTGTGCTTTTCCTGCATGAGCTGTACTACCAATCATATGAATATTTTCCGGCGATGAGCACAGACACATTATTTATTTGGGTCAGAAAGTGTACAGTGCTCAACTTAAATGAGTACACCCCAACATATTTGTCGGAAAACATTTACTTTCCATTCAGAATCAACATTTTCTATGGGACACTATACTATAAAATACTCCCACAAATGTCATTTGATCATTTTTCCTAACAAATTCATTCAAGACCATGTTGCAAAAACGAATACACCCCAATGAAAGTCTAGGAGCAAAGCTAAATTTTAGACAACAACATCCTAATTAACAAGAACTACATGTGAGTCTAATTATTAATTAAACAGGTGTCCAGCAGACAGTTGATTATAAAAGGGTGTTACTTAGCAAAGAAAATCCCTTCCCATTTCATGCTGTCAGCAATGGCATCACATAGATATATTACAAGGCCTCAGAAAGAAAGTAATTTCTTTACACAAGAAAAGTGAAGGTTACAAGAAGATCAGCAAAGCTTTACTTATCAGTTAGAATACTGTAGCAAACATGATGCAGAAATTTAACAAAGATGAAACTGCAACCATCTCACAGAGACATCTAGGCCATCCATGGAAGTTAACACTTCGACAGGAGAGTCTTCTGATGAGAAGGGTTGAAGAAAATTGCCATACAAGTTCAGTGCAGCTAGCTAAAGAAGTAGAAAGTGAAACTGGGGTGATTGTTTCCTGTGACACAATATGGTGTACACTACAATACAATGGAATAGAATGCATGGGTGTCATTCACAAAGAAAGCCTCCCCTAAAGCCTATTCACAAAAAAGCCTGCCTAGAATTTGCCAGGGCCCATGCTGAAAACAAGAAGATTACCGGGACTCTGTACCCTGGAGTAATGAGACCAAGATAAATGTTTTTGGAACTGATGGCTTCAAAACTGTATGGCGTTGCAAAAGTGAGGAGTACAAAGAAAAATGCATGATGCCTACAGTGAAACATGGTGGCGGCAGTATCCTTCTGTCCTTTCACAGATGTACTACTCTATATTGAAAGAGAAGATGCTACCATCACTCCATTTCCTTGTTCACCGTGCACTTTTCCAACATGACAATCCAAAAACACACATCTAAGGCCACTGTTGCATTTCTGAAGAACAGGGTGAAAGTGATTCAATGGCCAAGTATGTCTCCTGATTTGATCCCAATCGAACACTTATGGGGAATTCTGACAAGACAAGTTGAGCATCGCTCTCCATCCAGCATCCGGGCTCTAAAAGAGGTTGTTCTTGAAGAATGGAAAAAGATAGATGTTGCAATATGTCGCCAACTTCATTCCATGCCTAGCAGACTTGGTGCTGTACTTATAAATCATGGAGGTCATAC